CTGCGGCCAACTTCTTATCGATCCTGTCGCGAGGTTCCGATACCAGGTGCGGGCCACTCCTTTGAAAGTAGTGGAAAAGGCCACGCACATGCAGGACTCGCTAGCCCGTGCCAGGTGCATCTGGGATCGGAAGGCGTCCACATGGTCATTTGGATCGAAAGACCCATCATACTTGTCTAGAGGAGGGAGCTTGAAATCCTTTGGCATGGGGACAATAAGGAGTTCTGGAGATAACGAGGAAGAAATCGAGAGGAGGGGGTAGTTTTCACTTCAGCCGAGCACACCTCCTCCTTTCCTTTGAGCTCGGGAGAGGCTCTGGAAGTAGTTCGGCGAGCTTGCCGGCGTCTTCACCACTGCTTTGCTGGTTCGGCTTTGGTGTTCGATGCATCGGTGTTGCCGAGCTTGATAGGCTCGGACTACTGGTGACGGCTCTGGACCGAAGGGCCTTGTCTGTAGCCCACTACTAGGACCTCAAATGGGTTGTCTACTAACGGGAGCTCGAACTGCGAAGGTTGTGGTGACACGGGCTTTGTTGGGCGAGAGGCCCCTGACCCGCCCGCAGGCTGCGAGGTGGGTGCCGAGATGGCAGCCGGCTTCTCTTTCTTGCCATGGGAAGAGGCTCGACTCTTGGCTGGATCTTGGACCTGGGAGGCTTCTTCCCGACGAGGCCGCTCACTCCAGCAGGTTGGTTTGGCCTGCTTCGTGGGTGGGTGCCGAGGTGGAAGCGACATTTGGGCCTGAGGTAGAGAGGGAAACTACTGCTGGTACTAGTACTGGGAAACCTGGTGCAGCACTTGCTGTTGGTAGAGTTGAAACTGTTGGAACTGTTGCATTTGAGCTTGCATGGCCCGCATGCATTGCACTAAGTCCTCCAGTTGGTTCGGGTTGGTCGCTAGGGACACAACTGAGGGTTCAGTAGAGGTTGCTCCTACAGTTGAAGGGAGCGGAGCAATGGCGGGTGCCACTGTAAGAGGCACATTCAGACTGGGGACTCCGTCCACGGTGAGGGGGACGGTAAACTGTCCAATGCAGATAGTAGGAAACTGGGGCTGCTCCCCACTAGCGTTTTGGCTATTGCCACGCCCGACATTGCTGGAAGAAGCCATGAAGAATGCTAAGTTTTTGGTAGAAAAGTGTTGTAAAAGCTTGGAGGAAGGCTTTTAGAAGCGTTTCCCACAGACGGCGCCAAATGATGCGGCATGATCCGGGCACTCCTAGCTGGCTGCTGACTGGCTCCTTGTTGACAACGGACGACACCTGAGAAGATGGAAAAGAAGGATTCCCGGGGATTTATCCGGTGGGATTAATCCGAAGCTTCAGTCAGAGCGTTGGGGAAGGAGAAAGAAGAGTGCGAAAGCTAAGAGTGTAGGTCGCACTTTATCACTGTGCTCGAGAGATTAGCTCGCGAGCAAGTAAAGACTCAGGTTGAGAATATGAGAGTGCAGAAGTATTCAAAAATCTGAGAAAAATCTCCCTCTTCTCCTTTGCCTCAAGGGCTTTTATAGGGGAGTTTTTGTCAAATCGGGCGTAACCGCCACTGGGCCCCTGCCGCAGCCGTTACCTGCCAGGGCTGCACAGGTGATCGTTGCAACGTACCTATTGTTCAGATGAGTGACACGTCTTAAAGGGGCAGGCATGCCTCTGCCTGCTGAGAGACGTGGGTGCAGACTGTTGAAAAAACAGGGACTACGCAGTCAGTCAAGAGATGTGGCGCAGTTTGATCGGTATGGTTTGTTAGGTAGAAGCTTCCTGAGAAACGTCCACGCTGCTGATTTGCGAGCTACTTTGTAGCGAGCTTAGGAATACTTCGGGATTACCCTTACTAAGGTTGTTCTCTGGGGTGACTTATCCGCTTAGGGGCTGGAGCGAGCTGGTTTCCCTAGCTCGTGAGCTGAAGCAGTCTTGGAGTATTCCCTTCTGTGTAGCTCGGGGGACTTGGAGCATGTGTTGTAGCAAGCTCCTTCTACAACGAACTATGATATAGTGAGCTGGTCTATGGGCTCGTTACTTAGCCGTAATCAGGCTATGATGCTGAGCTGTTGCCCGTTCTGAGTTAGGTCCACGTGTCATCATTTCATAGGTCGGGTCAATTCATCCTCCATCAGTATATTTAATATAAATAACATTTAATACACACTCATATGTATAATCCGCGCCGGGGTGAGGCAGGGACGTCAATCCCCATCCCCGACCCCGACCTTGATTGGGGATTCCTATTAATCCTTGTCCTTGCCCCTGCCCCGCCAAAATAATCCCATCCCCACCCCCATTGGGTTGGGGAAGTCAGGTTCCCATTGAGGATGAGGAAAATTGCCACCCCTAAAAGTGTGTTCTAATAAATGACCCTAATAGAAATACATAAGAGTATATTATTTTATATTTTTAACTTTTAAATAATTAATAATTATTCATATTTTATATACTCATTTTAATAAAATTTTTATAATACAAAAATAACAATAATTAATTTTAGTTAGGTTTATTTATCAAACTGATGAAACCAACCAACCCAATTAACTCGACCCGAGTTGGTCGGTTTTCTAGTATTTTAGGTTGGCTTTGGTTAAAAAATTTCCCAATTCGACCAAGTTGGATCAATTCCACTTTGGCCATTTGTAAACTAACCAAAATCGAACGACCTAACCATGGATATATATATATATATTAATATTTTATATTTTAAATAGAACTTTTAATATGAAAAAGTTGGAATTTTCCCATATTTCTTAGTCTAAAATGTTTTATATCATAAATCTATTTTTTTAATTTTATTATTTAATAATCACACTATAATTTTTAAAATTAAATTAAATTTTTAAGTTTAAATCTTTTGAACAGACTGACCAAACAAAAAAATCGACCCAAACCAATATAACTTGAGCAGGTAGGTTTTTACAAAAGATTAGTCGGTTTTAACTAACCAACTCCCTAACCTGACCAGGTCAATTTGGTTGGCCAAATAGCTTATGACCACACCGAACCAACTAATGAACACTCATAATTTCAGTTAAATTAATAGTCTTATCTCTAATAAATAACAATAGTTTAATCTCCAATAATTATTGAAAATTTATAGCAAAAATACACAATTATTGAAAATATATTGATAATTAAAATTACAATAATTACAGAAATTACAAAAATACAATAAGTACTAAAAATATATTAACTTAGTCAATAAATAGTATAATCTCTACTAAATATTAATCAATAACTTATAACAAAAACACAATAAATACAATAAGTACAATAAATTAAATTTAAAAATTTCAATAACAGTAATTTAATCTCCAATTATTATTGAAAGTTTTCTATTAAATAGCTTAATAAAATAAATTTATACATACTTATTGAAAATACATTTATCACAAAAGACAATAAATATTAATTTTAGTATATATAAGTATATAATAAATATAGATTAAGAGTTTAAAATTATTATTAATAAATATTATTTTTTTAAAGTTATTTTCTTGAATTATTACTTGATATAAGTGAAATTAATTATTTATAATATTATGTAAAATATTAAATTATTATTAATTTCTTTATTATGTTATAATTATTTTTCTACTTTTTAGATTTTTTTTTTAAATTTGTTACATAATGTATTTATTTTAACTATTTAAAATCTAGTTATGTTAAATATTTTGTTATTTAAATACTTAAATAATATGTAAGGTATTTAAATTTTAAAATATTAATTATTTTTTGAATTTAATTTTTCCATAAAATCATAATTTATTCTATGATTACATAATTTCTTTATTTAATTTGTAATATATTAAATTATTATTAATTTAAATATTATGTTATAATTATTTTTATACTTTGAAGAAGTTTTTTAAATTTATTACATAATTTCGTTATTTTAACTCTTTAAAATCTAGTTATTTAAATATTTAAGTATTCTATAAAATATTTAAATTTCTTTGTTATCCAAATTTTATTTATTTAAAGCTATTACATATTATTAAATATTTAAAAAACTTTTAAATTGATAATCTAGAAAAAACATAATTTAAATTGTTAGTACATAATTTCGTGATATATTTTGTAAAAATATAGAATTATTTTTTGTGTTTTAATAAATATTTTAAAGTTATTTTATAATTTTGTTATAATATTTAAATTTTTTAATCCAAACCTTATTTAGATAGATATAGATAAAAAGTATGGGAGAGGATAAATAGGAATTAAAGATAATTTAGGAGAGAAACTCTCTAGTAAATTGGAGAAATTAGGGGAGATTGTTTAGGAGTAATTTTAGGAGAAAAGATTATTTAGGTTATTGGGAAAGTGCATCTGTTTCAAAAATGACATGGAATTAAAAAAATAAAAAATTCAAAAAAGGAGAAAATAGATAAATAGATTTTCTCAAAGGAGAGACTTTTAATATATATAGATTATTATTATTGTTGTATGTAGCCATTCGAACTCGACTCGCAAGCCTCATGAGCCGAGATTTATTAGGCTTGAGTTTGACTCGATTAATAAACGAGCTTGAGCTCGAGCTCGACTCGAAGAAGCTTCTTTCAAAGTAGAATACAATGAACAATGTCTTCGTTTGAAGGGTAATTTTGACATTTTAAAAAGTTGTAAGTGGCACATGTCATCATGGTCGGCCGTTAACGATTGGGACCTATTAGACATATTCTTAAAGTTCAAGTACTATATGGACACATTTTAAAATTTGGGTACCGACTTGAGAAAACCGTTAAAATTCAGGGTATTAATCAAGAATTTTCCAAAAAATAAAATACAAATGTGTAATTTGGCCGGATTAAAATTACAAATGGGTAAACCTGGATCATCGTTATGCCAGCCTCGATCCCGTGAGGCTCAAATTACATGCAGTTTCAACTCTCAAGCGACAACGCCGACAGGACAAGCCATAAGGCCCGTAACGGCATTTAACCAGATGAGTGAACTTTGGGTAATTTCGTAAATAAGAAAGAAAACGAAGGGCATTTGTATGAGATTGGCCATTCATTTAATAGGGGCCGGAAATCACTGTATTGCAGCAGGGGAACCTTTCTTGGCGTCTCTCCTCGCTTTTGATCTGAATTGGGTCGGTGCACGCTCTCTCCCTAAGCGCTGGTATCCATCGTCCTGAAGAAAGAAGTTACAAGAGTAAAGGAAGAGAGGAAATAAGGTCGGAGGACGCAGAGAAGGAGAATGTCGAAGAAGAAAGCTTTCAGCGGATCTACAATGACGCTGAAAGACTTTCATGGCGGTTCCATACCTTCTGATCTTCCTTTACCTTCTGCGCCTGGAGTGTAAGCTACCACCAAGCTTATTGATCCATTTCTTTTATTTTGTTTGTGTATCTTTGTATATCAATACAACTTCCTTTTTGATTGAATTTTCTACAGATTTAGTTCAGAAGAATAGTTTTCGTTTTTTTTTTCTTCCTGGGTTTCTGTCCTTAAACATCTGTTATTTAGTCAGATAATCGGAAGTTCAGATATTCGAGTTAGAATTTCTTTTTATTTCAGCTCAATGCCACCTTAGGCTGGATCTATGAATTGAAACCCTAGTTTTCTGAACTTTCCTATATCTATGCAGCATTGTAAGGCCTTCCGATCGCCCTGGTTTTGACCGTCACATCCCAACAGCTTGGGGAAACCCTATAGGACGATCCGATCATCGTTCAAGACCAGGATCTTCTGGGGCAACCCGTAACTTTGACGAGAAAGCTTCGTTCCTTTCCCACCCTGCACACATCGGCCGGAATTTCGATGAAGATGAACGCAAGCCGTTAGATTGTCTCTCTGTTCCGCGTCGGACCGTCAGTGATGAAAGCCTACGCCCACCAAGTCGTCCCGAACAGAAGCCAGATTCACTGTCTTCGGTAAAGTTTTCTGGATCTGGGAAGCAAGTGTCGAGCCCTGTATCTTACTCGACAAGTACTGCTGCAAGTTCCTTTCCATCGAGGTTCACTGGAGCGTCACCTGTGGGTGGTAATCCACAACCATCGAATGCTTCTAATGGCTCTACTGTTTCCAGCTCTTCTCCAAATGCGTGGGGGATGAGGAAGGAGGTGGTAGGCGTCAGTGAACCTGTTCCTTCATCTGCCTGGTCTGGTCCGAGTGCTGTCTCAAAGTTTGCCCAAGCCACTGCGCTTGAGAAGGTTTCATCAGGTAGATGGCAGTCTAAGCATCCGGTCCATCATCAGCCCGATGTTGAAGTAATAAGATTACCTGAAACTGAGGGTGATTTTCGCCCAAAGGATGGCTATGCATACAATGTTGTTGATCCAGTGAGTGAGAGGGGTGACCATAATGTGACACAGGGAAGATATACTGAAAAAGGCTGGACTGCTGCAGACGGGATACGGAGTGGTGGGAAGGAGGCGGTAGATTATGAAAGGGCAAGGTCTCCGATTTATCCAGAAGCAAAGGAGAGGAATTTGTCATTCTATTCTGATGGGGTTCGTCCAGCTTCTACTGAAGGAAGATTTGTTGGATCTCAATTACCACCACCAGTTCCTTCAGAAGTATCTGAGAGGCCTAAATTGAAACTTCTTCCAAGATCTAAGCCATTGGAGACTTCAGAACCACATCTTGTGGATTATAAGCAGGTATTTCCTTAACCACTGGGTGTTACTTTCTGCTTTATAGAGTTTGTGGATGGTTTGATTTTGACAAGTATTTAATGTCTGTTTTAATTCAGGGGCACCATCAGTCCACCAACTCTGGTCATTTAGAGACTCTTGACGAACCATGTGCAAATGCAAATTCTTCAAAACCAGGGTTAACTGGTGCTGAGGGGTCAAATCGCCTAGCTGAACGACCCAAATTGAATCTAAAGCCCCGCTCACAGCCTCTTGAACAATCTGAAGGAAATGTTGAAAGAGAAAGGTTGGTAAGCTCGTCCTGAATCTTTTTGTTAATGTTAATTAGGCTGCTCATGGAACACTATTACACTGCATGCAGAATGACATACCATTTTCTGATAACTTGAATGTGTTTAACTGTTAGAAAGACATGGAATGATGTACTGTTGGATAAAATGAACTTTGTAAGACTTTTGGTATGTTGGTAAATTTGGCGATGTTTCCTATCCCTGAATTTGCTTGTTGAATGCTTGATGAAGATCGTTCACTTATGTTTATTGTGTTGATATCCATGCTTCCTTGATGTGAATATTCATCCATGTCTTCTTGGAGTCATGGTTTAAAAATTAAAAGGGTTATGGACTCAGACATGAGAAGGTGAGGTTGAGGAAACGTATTGTTTGCTCTGTAAGACTTAAGTCATCACAACATCACCTTGTCAGCCATATCCTCAATGCTTAAGATGCCAGATGCAGCTAAGGCATATGCCTTGTATTCCTGCAGCACTTGGTTTGTGTTAAAGCTTTATTTTATCTTTTTATTTTTCTTGTTACTAAGCCATTAGCCATGACACGGTAGACCTCTAATATCTTAACCAAGTCAAAGAAACAAACAGATAAACAAGAGATAATGAAGTTCTAGTTCACTCTTTTATTCTCTTTTTATTTTATTTTTTATGATTGGAGAAATTTGTAATTTGTAGGGTTTTCTTAGTCATTTTGTGCTTCTTTGTTTGTTAATATATATTATATAAGTTGTTTTTTCCTCAAAAAATACGCTGTTCTATTCGCTTCAATTTAGTTACTTATTCTCTTTGGAATGTTGATTTGAAGTCATCTTACTATCCTACTAGTCTACCAAAAAATGTTGCCTTTTGCTTGTGTTCTGGACTTCTAGTATTTATATTTTCTAGATTGATTATCAATCAAACATTCTGTCTAACTGTTATTTTATTTTATTTTTGATTTGATTAAATATTAAAAGGTGTTAAGAAATGGTTTTAATCTTTAATCATAGTGAGGTCATGGAAGTTGATGCTGTGGGAAGGTGGTTGTAGGGTTGAGTTCTGGTATTTTAGAAATTTACTTTTCTTAATGAAAAAGCAAGCAAAAGCTATTATAGGAACTTTTAGACTTACTATTTCAGGCAGTTCCTGTGCTTGCTTTTTATAGCAATTGTGGTTTACTATTTTTTAGTAATTTCTGGTTTCTTTAGAATTAGATTAAGTTAGTGGTTCTTGCTTGCTTTAACGAGTTTGTGTGAGATTAGAAGTTCTTGGGTGTCAAATTTATAAATATAGTATAAAGCTTCACTTAAGAAATGGAATGAATATGAGTTTGATTTGGAGTTGTTATGCCATTTGAAGTACATTATCCTCTCTCTCTCTCTCACACGCACCACAAGCACCTTGGGCTTCAACCTATAGCTTGTAACATAATCTACTTTAAATTGCACATTCCACTACTAAAGGTTGCAGCCCGAAACTAGTTCTATCCCCTATATAAACACCTTCAAAACATTACCTTTTCTTCATCCTTAACCCACCGATCTATTCCTTAAACATACTATAACCATCCTAATCTCAGAAATTTACTAGTTTATTTTCCTTCATAATCTACAAATTTCATTGCTTCTCCTTAGCCCACCAATGTCTTCCTTAAACATACTATAACCATCCTAAATTAATTCTCAGGATTTTACTAGTTTATTTTCCTTCATAATCTACATATTTCATTGCTTTTCCTCCATTTAGCCTATTATAGATCTTACTCGTAAGACTTTTTCCTCTGTCCTACATCAAAAGTATAAATAGAAATTTTAGGCTGTGTTTTGTTTGACAAAAAATAAGAGAGAAACAGAGAATTGAGGGAAAGTTCTTAAGGAATTTCACAGGTTTCCTTATGAAATAAGAACATTCCTTCACCTTTCTGTCTCTCTCTTATTTTCTATCAGGCCAAACATGGCTTTAGTGTTTACAAAAATTGGGAAGTCCTATATGTAAAAACACTAGTAGTTTATTAGCCCCAAAAATTATATTAGCAGTTTATTTTTATTATGATTTATTAATTTTATTTTTTTTAAACTTTTCCTAGGCTTATGTTTTAGCCCCAAAAAGTCCCATGACTGACCTTTGCCTTACTGTTCAGATACATAAGTTATATGGGAATATGAAAATGTTCTTTGATTGGAGTTCGATCTTTATAGTGTCCTTGTTATGCTTTATACTATTACATATTCTCTTAAAACGGGTTAGAAATTTTTGGTTTTAATAGTATGAGCTTTCTATCAAAACTTTTTTGTTTCTGGTGTTGACAATTTTCTGGGTACAGATGAAAGAAAGCTAGATTTCAACATTATATATATATATGTGTATGTATGTATATATATTTTCTAATCCACTGTAGTTGAAGTAGATGGGTCATGGGTGCAAATGTATGCAAGAAGATTTCTGTAATCCATCTAAATGTGCTTCATTAACAATAAGTTCAGTTTAGATTCAGATCAGGAAAACTGAATCTTCTGATGAGTGACTAATTATTTACTTAACTATTGAATTGTTTTTTAGCAAGAGGAACATATCGCCCTCCCACCCTTCCTTCTCTCCCCTATTCTCTTTTATGGTACTAAAAAGAAACCCTTGAATGGGTGGAAATATACGCTGGAAAATTTCTGTAATCCATCTAAATGTGTTTTATTTGCAAAACGTTCAGTTTAGACTCGGACAAGGAAACTGAATCTTCTGAACTATTGAATTGTTTTTTGGCAAGAAGAAACTTCTCCTTTTCCTACTATTCCCTTCCCTTTTCTTTTAGGGTGCAGAAAAAAATCCTCCAATTTGCACTAATTTGCAGTGCGACCTTTTGCTGATTTAGCAACTTGTGTTATATAGGTGAATATGTTAAAAAAGATTTGACCTGGTTCTCTAAATCTAATTGTTAGCAAATATTTCCCATGGGTTTCAAGCAAAGAAAGTTGTCTGATGAGACGCCACTTGCTTTTGTTTCCAAATATTTATGAAGAATCACTTTAACATGTTATTAAGTGAAAGTATGCATTGATATCATTAGGGGGCCTGCCATGAATTGTGACATTGCACATGGCTTGTCCAGTACTTGGATTTTCTTTTCATTATAACTTCTAATGATACAAAAATCAGTAGTTCAAACTTCAAAGACTTATTACTTGTAACTGATCTAACCTTTTGATTAATGAATTAAATTTTCAATTATAAAAAAAAAACTTCAAAGACTTATTGCCCCTTCCCTTGCAAGTGAGCAAAAGATTTTGCTGTTCTTTGTATCTATCTAAAGGAGAAGTTCATTATGGTAGCATACGATCTTGCTTCCATTATAAAAATGCTGTGTCTGCTATGGGCTTAGGTTGCCTTTTCTTATCCATCTTATAGATGCTTGAGAATCTCCTTCTGTTATTAGGTTGCAGTAGTTTAAGTGGTCTAGTCAAAGTCCCTGTGGCAAGGGTAGGACTTCAGTTCGAATGGAATCGTCAATGTGTTTTGGCCCTGAATGTGCACCAGTTGGCCCGACTCTTTGTGTAGCTTATGCAATTGTTAGCTAGCCTTCAGTACTCCCAAATGATCAATTGTTAGCTCAAGCTTCATTATGTAGCTTATGCAAAGAGCTGCCCCAACTCTTTGTGTTTTCACTTTAAGACTTCACCTTAAATATGGCATTCCATTTTTCTTTTCCTCTTATGCCCTTCTCATCTTTTCTTAATTACAAAACTACCCAAATTCTGACAAGCATTGTTCAACTTCCTTGAAACTGTTATTCTATATCTGTTTTTGTTAAAAATCACCTAGCCTTCAGTACTCCCAAATGGGCTCTAAATTATTATTAATGATGATTAATTGGTGTGGAAGTAAAAAAAGTTTGTATGAGTTGATCTCGTTATTATGATTTTTCCCGGTTAGTGTATTAGAACATTTTTGAATTAAGCCTTGCACTAATTCTTATGTGCACCTATAGGCTGGGGATTCCCATACTTGCTAATCTCTAATTGTATTTGACTCAGACTTATATATGCAAAGTTTAAAATGTTGGAAATGCTGGATGGAAGTATTGTAAAAATTATAGACATAGTGGAAACATTGTGAAATATGTGAAAAATATACTATGATATTTTATGAAGTGATAAAAAAGCAGAAATATACCCCCTTTAGTAACTTATTTGTTAATAGTATAGTATACTATGTGTTAATATATGTGGTATATGTTTTTAATTTTTATTTTGCATATTACATTTTTTTGATAGGAAATGGTAACTTCCATTGATGAAGTTAAATAAAGAGTACAAATATCACCCCACCCACAGGATGGTTGGAGAAGTCAAAAACAGAAAATGCCTTACAAAAAAGCCCACAACAAAGCCTCTCTATTATCTCCTTGCTTAGCTAAAGCATCGGCCATTCCATTTGCTGACCTTCTTACCCATTTAAATTTCACCCCAAGCTCCCTTTTTAAGCTTACAATCTCTCTTAGAGGCTGTCTAAGTGACCACACTCCCAAGTTTCTAGATTGCATCCATCCACCCTATTACTAGCTTGAAGTCTCCTTCCACTTCTAAGTGCTCATTCCCCATTGTTTTGCCAATCTCAGGCCTTGACTTCTGCCCTTAAGGAATCTCCTGCTCCAATCTGGCCCGAGTGTAGGGCTAAAACTCTTCCTTCCTTGTTTCTGAAAACACCCCAACTCCCGATAGACCTGGATTACCTAATGAGCTTCCATCAAAATTTAATTTCACCCTGAACTGAGGCTGTGGGGACCAACTCTCTTGAACTTAAGGGGAAGAGGGAGAGGATACAACAATAGAATTCCAACTCCTAATTAAAACAATTGAGGAGAAGTCCTTGAAGAGCTTTCAGCCGATGTAGAATCTTGATGGTAAGGCCCTCAACAAGTGCTTCCTTAGATTTTTCTTGCCCTTGGAAAATCCTATTATTTCTCTCTTCCCAAATTGACCAAAGGAAGGCTTCTCTTGTTATTTTCCACATTACCCTACCTCTTT